TTTCATTGGGAGGTTAAAGTAGGTGACTTGCTGAGATGGTATTGTATTTATTCTAGACTTTGCTGGAAGATTACCCTAGGGGATCTTATTAGTTCACAGGATTTAAAAAGAGGCATGAAAGCAAATTTTCCATATACAGCAGTCATACAGTTGGTATATAATTTCCCACCAAAATGAGGATTGTATAATGTAACATTTAGACTCATGCATTGAGAACGAGGGTTTACTATGATTGAAACAATAGGTTCCTTGGTAGATTATGAATATTAATATCAAAATGGCAATATAAGCACCAGAAATCATGCACAAACAGATAGTAATTCAGATTCTGAGTAGGGTGGGGAGGGGGAGATGCTTATCTCTCTCAGTGCAGTGTATATAGTTTCCATTCCCAGAACTCGGTTAGAAATGATCTAGCTGTTTAGTGCTGCTTCTACATTGATATCACATGAGGTGTTTTTAATTAGATTCAATAATACATCTGACTTCTCTTCAGATACCTTAACATTTCTTTCCCTTCCTCACCTAGTTTCTCTTTTCTTCTTCTCCTCTCTCTCTCTTTCTCTTCCTGTCCCCCACTTTTTCTCTCTCTGACTCTTCTTTCTTACTGGCCTCCTCCCCTCCCAGCCACAACTTAAATTTATAAAATGGCTTCTTGGAAAATAGCATCGGAATTAGATGCTTTTGTTTCTCCTGGTTAGTGTTCCAGTTCATGCTCTCTCACTTGCACATATGCCTGACATTAAATGATGACCTGCTGTTTCATAACATGCATGCAGTGAGACCCCATCATCATAATTTCACCATGTAGTTCTGCTTAGTGGCAATATAGAGAAATTATTAATTAGATAATTTTATAATAAAATATACAGAAGCTCCTTTATAGCCTTGGGGTAAAGTATTATAATTTACCAATATCCTATGAGTTAAGAAAATGAGACTTTTAAAGGTAAAGATACCTAAAAAAGGTAAGCTGATAAGCACAGGAAAGTGCATATGGAAGGAGTGAGAGTGAGATGTTGAGTTTGAGGACTTTTATTTCTGATTTTCTTATGATATCTTTGTTTGTAACTCTTCATAAGGTCATTTGGAATAGGTCCCAGATGGAAAATTATGACCAGATAAATGAAATGAGAAATTAATTTGTTTTAAATGATACTAGACATTATCATGTACTTCTCCAGCCTAATCACACAAATGACTTCAAATAGAGCTCACAGACCTGCTAGAGAGGAACTGGTACACCCCATGCTAGCTCACTGCAGACTCAGTGAGGATACATCAGTATGCATAATAAAGAGCAGAGATTAAGCTACTTGAATAAACTTTGGCTATATTCTTTGAGAGTCTGGATATAATTTTCTCCTTTAAAAAATAGTTTTACTGAGGTATTATTGACTGCAAATATTTAAAGTGTTTGATTTGATTAATTTTGACGTAAGTATTTATCCTCCAAACCACCACAATAAATTACTATAATAAATATATTTATCACCGCCCACATTTTGTTTGTGCCCATTTAAAATCACGCCTCCTAAGCCTTTCTGCCAATTTCTCATCACCCTTCTCCCAGTTCCCAGGCAGCCACTGATCTGCTGACACTGTACAATACTTTGAATTTTCTAGAATCTTCTAAGGATAGGATCATACTACACGCTTTTCTTCTGGCTTATTTCCTTTAATTATTTTGAAATTCAACTATGTTACAGTTTTTATCAATAGTTCATTCTTTTTATTGCTAAATAGTATCCCATTGTCTGGATATATCATAGTTTGTTTATCTTTTCACCTGTTGATGGCCATTTGAGTTGTATACAGCTTTTGGCCATAACAAGTCCTGTGAACAAGTATTTGTATGGACATATGTTCTCATTCTCTTGGGTAAATACCTAGGATCATATGTATATTTAATTTTTGAAGAAATTCTCAAACTGTTTTCCAAAATACTTATACTATTTTACATTTTCACAAGAAACATATGAAAGGCAAGTTCTTCTACATCTTTACTAGCATTTGGTAGAGTCACTCTTTTTTTGTTTGTTTTGTTTTTTAGGCATTCTGGTTACCGTGTAGTTTCTATCTCATGTAGTTTTTCTTTTTTAGTTTGTTAATCTGGTGAAGTACATTGATTTTTCTAATTACAGTGACTCGTTATCCTATTGTTACATTCCCTCAACTTGGTCATGACGTATTATTCTTTTCAAATATTGATAAACTAATTTTGCTAAAATTTTGTTTAGAATTTTTGTATCCATGTTTATGATAGATAGTGGTTCACAGTTGTTTTCTCTTGTAACATCTTCTTTTCGTGGTGTTGGAACCAGGATAATGCTATAAACCTGGCCTCATAGAATGAGTTCCCTTCTTTACAGTCTTCTGGAAAAATTTGTGTAGAATGGACATTATGTCTTCCTTATAAGTGTGAAAGAAGCCACTTGAGCTTGAGGTTTTCTTTGTAAGAGGGGCTTTCAGCTAGAAATTTAATATTTTTAAGAGATATAGAGCCATTCTGGTTACCTTATAAGTACCGCGCGCTAACCGATTGCACCACTGGAGCCACATCCATTCTGATTATCTATATTTTCCTGAGTTTAAGAAGTTTGCATTTTCCAATGAATTTGTTCATCTTATCCAAGTCATCAAATTTACTGGCATAGGGTTTTCATAATATTTCTATATTCTCATTTTACTATGCTTAATATCCTACAGGACCTGTAGTAGTAACGTCATTCTCATTCCTGATATTGATAATTTTTGTCTTCTCTCCTTTGATTTTTAGTAGCGGAGTCTAAAAGTTTATCATATTCACACTCTGAAAGAACGAAGTTTTGGTTATATCAATTTTTCCATCTTGTGATAGTTTTCTATTTTCTATATCTGTTTTGTATCTTCTTTAGAATTAATTGATTACTACTGCTCTCATCTTTACTATTTCTTTACTTCTTCTATTTAGCTTGGGCTTAATTTATTACTCTGTTTTTAGTTTCTTAAGGTAGAAGCAGAGGTTAGTGATTTAAGACCTTTTCTCCCTTCTAATACAGGCATTTACTTCTATAAATTTCTTCTTAAGTACTGCTTTAATAATCTCTCATAAATTTTAATATGTTGTGCTTTCATTTCTACTCAGTTCCAGATACTTTCTATTTTCCCTCTTTACCTCTTTAATTATCAATTATTTTAAAGTTTTTCATTTAGTTTTCAAATGTTTGGGGACTTTTCTAAAGATTTTTCTAGTGTCGATTTTTAATTCTAATGTGCTCAGACACCATACTTTGTTACAAATCTTTTTTAATTTTTTGAGGCTTGCTTTTTGGCTCTATATGGTCTATTTTGGTAAATGTTCACTGTGCACTTGAAAAGAATATGTATTCTCCTATTGTTGGGTGGCATTTTCCATAGATGTCAATGAAGTCAAGTTGTTTGATAGTATTGTTAAAATCCATATCTTAGTAAATTCTTAACTACTTTTTCTATCAAATATTGAAGAAGAGGTATTGAAATATCTTCCTGTAATTGCACAATTTTTTATTTTTTCTTTCAGTTCTATAAGATTTTATGTATTTTGAAGCTCCATCATGAGATGCATAAATATTTAGAATTGTTATGTCCTCTTGAATTTACCCCATTATCACCGCAAATGATCTTATCACTTTCAATGTTCTTTGCTTTGAAATTTACTTTCTGATATTTCTTTTTGATTGTTATTAACATGGTATATCCATTTTCTATCCTTTTACTTTTGACCTATTTTTTCCTTTATGTGTAAAGTACGTTTCTTGGAGGTAGTGTATATTTTGGTCTTGCTTTTTAAATCTAACAAGTTTCCTTTTTAATTGGGGTAATCAAATCATTTGCATTTAATGTGCTTGTTGGTATGATTAGGGTTAAATATATTTTCCTACCTTTTCTTTGTTCCTCATCTGTTTTGTATCTTATTTAGAATTAAATATTTTCATAGTACTAATGTATATTTTTAATTATAACATTTTGTTTTGTTATTTCAGGATTTATAGTATATATCTTTCATTATCACTATAACTTCAAGTGATATATCATTTCCCACACAGTATATGAGTCTCAAACTACTACACCTTCATTTATCCCCTTCTTTGCTATTGTTTTCTTTTAGACATGCTGTAATTTCATGCTATATTATTATTTTTATTTGAACAGTCACTTGTTTTTTCCTACTTGAAAGCAATATTTGCTGAAATATTCCAGTGTTTTTTTCCCAGCATATATCCAGCTAATATATTAAAAGGGTTAATTATAAGAAATATTGGTGTAATCATAACATACTTTTTGTAGCATCATAAAACATATATACATAAAACATGTAGCCTTTGTTGGTTTCTCCTGATAAATAATATGTATACACATTGCCCCAAAATGTATATAGCTGTTTACCTTAAAGTATTTAGTACCATCCATGTTATAATCTACTGACTACAATGTACTTTTAACTTATAAATGAGCTACTCTATATGATACAGACATGATATAAAAAAGGGAAATAGTGTCCCTGTCCCTCTAGGATTCACACAATAATTCAGTAAAATGGTAATTAGTGAGACCATGTAAATTGTCTGACAAATTTCAATCTGAAAAATATTTTTCAGGAAAATATCTAAGCTATGAAAATACTACATTTCTATTGTAGGAATTTAGCAAATATTTCCCTTAAACATTCAGTGAAGATGTAGTTTCTCTAATATGTAGAAAGGAGGATTTGTAGCCTATTAAAAACAAGAATAACAATGACAAAAAGTCCCTTAATTTTAGCAGATTAATTACAGCTCTTAATCAAGTGTGTGTAACACAAAGAACCAAATCTGGGTCCATAAGTGTTAGAGGATAGTTGATAAAAAGATTACATGAATACAATCTTAATAGCCTATATTTTAGAAAGAATGGGGCAGAATGTTATGGCAATCGAGGGGGTCAGCCTTCAAGATGGCTGGCCCAACCCTGTCGATGTTAAAAAACACACCCAATATTTCTACAGTGCTCTTCTAACATATTTTCTTTATTTCAGGTCACAAGTCCAGGGTTTTCATGGGTCATGTAGCAAGTGGCTTATAAACAAAATCAGAGTCTATAATAGTGTCATTATATTAAGAGGCAGAACTGCTGTATGCTTTCATTACGTAAAATGTTTACACCTTGGGACTCCATGGCTGGTATTATTACGGCATACCCGAGATATATCTTGCTCCAATTAGCATTACCATGCTACTCACTATAAAAAATCCCAAAGGCATACTAGAGAAGATAGAAGGATCACCACTTTCAGGAGACTGACTGGTAACCCAACCCATTGACTTCATTACAGCTTTCTTCCATGTGGCATAACGAATTTCACTTTCTGTGGCCTGGATCTGTGGTTCAAATCGTTCCATCCTGAGAACCGACAAAGCCTGGGGTTCAAGGCTCCAAATGCTTACTCCCTCTGCAGCTCCTGCTGCCATGGCAGCTCCTAGTGCAGTTGTTTCAGGCATAAAGGGTTTTATTACTGGAATATGCAGAATATCTGCTTGTAGTTGCATAAGAACTTTGTTGTTGGTCATTCCTCCATCTACCTGCAAATGACGAAGTGGAGTTCCACAGTCACGGTTCATGGCTTCCAAAATCTCTCGGGTTTGGAAACAAACAGCTTCTAATGCAGCAAAAGCAATATGACATTTATTGGTAAACTGAGTAAGACCACAGAGTATTCCTCTTGCACTGGGTTCCCAATAAGGTGCATATAACCCTGAAAAGGCTGGGACAAAGTAACAGCCATAAGAAGTTCCTACTTCTTTAGCAAGTTTTTCAATGTCTCCTGAGGTCTCTATAATTCCAAGATTGTCTCTTAGCCAACGAATAACAGCACCCGCTATAGCAACAGAACCTTCCAGTGCATAATATGCTGGCTTCTCTTTGCCTAATTTGTAAGCTACTGTGGTCAGAAGGCCATGTTCAGAAAACACACATTTACGACCTGTATTACATAGTAAGAAGCAACCTGTTCCATAGGTGTTTTTGGCTTGTCCTTCCTGGAAGCACATTTGTCCTACTAATGCAGCACACTGGTCCCCCAAACACCCAGATATTGGCACACCTTCCAGGGCCCCAGTTTTAATTAGGCCATAGATCTCAGAAGAACTGAAGACATTTGGAAGAAGGTCCATTGGAATTTCAAAAAAGTCACAGAGCTCTTTATCCCATTCCAAAGAATGGATATTAAAAAGCATTGTCCTGCTTGCATTTGTTACATCTGTACAATGCACACCTCCATTAACTCCTCCTGTCAAACTCCAGATAAGCCATGAATCAATGGTACCAAAAAGAGCTCTACCTTCTTCAACTGCCTTTTGGACATGTCTCACATTGTCAAGCATCCAACGAAGTTTTACTGCACTGAAGTAAGTGCTAAGTGGAAGGCCTGTCTTAGACTTGACGAAATTACTATTTCCTGGAATTTTTTTACTAAGATCCTCAACAGTAGTCTGGGTTCTTAGATCAAGCCACACCACAGCGTTGTAGAGAGGCTCTCCAGTTAACTTGTCCCAGATTACAGTAGTTTCCCTCTGATTGCTGATACCAACAGCTTTTATGTTGGATATATCAATATTCATTTCGTCAAGTTTCTCACACGTTCTCGCTATACACTCATAGACAGACTGAAGAATTTCCTTAGGGTCTTGTTCCACCCATCCTTCTTTTGGGAACTCTTGTGTTAATTCCACTTTATGATGACTAAGTAGTTCTGCTGTTTTTGAACTGAAAACCAGAAAGCGAGTGGAGTTGGTGCCCTGGACCACCGCTCCCACCAACGGCCCCACAGCTGCTGTCTTTGGGTCTGCCATGACACCAGTAGGTCGGCTCAGCACTCTGGGACCGTTTCCCAGACGACGGTGGTGTTGGGGGCAGGGAGCGCAGCCAGTCAGGAACGCAAGGCGCAGGCGCAAGGCAACCTTTGCCCTTTCTCTGGCGCGGCGCCTTCTCACCCCACCGCTCCAGCGCAGGCCTCACACCCAGCCACTCAGTTGTCTTCTAAGATTCAAGTGTTTTGTTTGTTTGTTTGTTTGTTTTTTAATCGTATATTTATCCATGTAATTACAGTCACCAGTGTCCATTCTTTTGTGTGGATCTATATCTATACGTTATCATTTTCCTTTTTAGTAGTGCAGGTCTGTTGGAGATGAATTCTTCCAAATTTGAACATCTGAAATATATTTCACAGTAATATTCAAAGGTATTTTCTCTGGGTATAGAATTCTATTTGACATATTTTTTCTTTTTAAGTTTCAGGACCTCGGAGCTGTTGCTCTACCATCTTCTACTCTTGCTGTTCCAGTTGGGAACTTTGCTGTTATTTTTAATATGTCTATTTTTCTCTATCTTTAGAGTTTTTCTCTTTGTCAGTGATTTTGCTCAGTTTTATCATAAAGTGTCTAGGAATAGTTTTCTTATTTTCTTTGCTTGGGGTTTACTGAGCTACTTGAATCTGTAGGTTTAGAGATTTCATCGACTTTGGAAAGCTTTGGGTCTATTATTTCTTCAAATGTGTTTGATTCTGTCTCTTCTGTCCCTTAGGGACTCCACTCATTGTAATTACCTTTTCTCCTTGTGCTTGATTTCAGATAGTTTCTGTTGCTATCTCTTCAATTTCGCTAATCTTTTCTTCTCCAATGTCTGCTCTGCTATTAATTCATCCAGTAAATTTTTCACCTCACATATTGTAGTGTTCATCGCTAGAAGCTCAGTTAGGGTTTTTAAATATCTACTTAACTTTCTGAGCACATGGAATACAGTTAGAATAACTTTTAATTTCATTTTCTGCAATTCTAACCTCTGTGTCAGTTCTGGTTCAATTTTGATTAATTGCTTATCTCCTTATTATGGCTTGTATTTCCTGTTTCTTTGCATGCCTGATGAGTTTTAATTAGATGCCAAACATTGTGAATTTTACCCGACTGGGTGCTTGATATTTTTGTAGTCCTATAAATGGTCTTGATTTTTGTTTTGGGATACAGATAAATTACTTGGAAACAGTTCAATTCTTTTGCGTCTGCTTTTAAGATTTCTTAGATGGCGCAAGGACAGTATTCAGTCTGGGGCTAATTATTCCTCTTTACTGTAAAGATATCTTTCTATGTATGCTACCCAACACCCCTGACAAATAAGACTGTTTGGAACAGTAATTCCTCCCAGCCCTGAGTGACCACTGGATACTGTTATCTCTAGTCTTTCCAGCTGCATCTTTCGTTAGCCTCAGTAGTTTTCTCATACACATGCACTGATCAATACCCAACTAAGTACTCGCTGGGGACCCTCTAAAGCTCTCTGGAGTTCTCTCTCTGTGCAACTTTTTTTTCTCCAGTGCTATGCCTGGCAGAGTCTAGCTTCTTTGGTTTCTCTAGGCTCTCAGCTTAATCTCCTTGCCATAGGTTTCTACTGAGTTTCAACTGGGTTCCCTGTCTCTGTGCTGTGGCTTCAAAACTCTCTCAAGAAACTAAGCTGGGGAAATCATAGTAGTCATGTCATTTGTTTCTCACCTCTTAGAAATTACTGCCTTTCACGACACTGCACTCCAACCTGGGCCACAGAGCAAGACTCCATTCCAAAAAAAAAAGAAAAAATTTATGAAACACCTTTAAGAAACTGGCTGAGGAAATCTAAGATAAATACCAACAATCCTTTAGGAATCTGAAGAAGCCCCTTCATAATGGGGATAATGGCACCAAAAATATCACTAAGTAGTCAGTAAAGATGAAACAAAAAATGAATGATGGAGAGCCAAAAGAAACTACAGGTGGAGATGTATTATCAATTTGGGTGATTCTTTTAAAATGAGAACATGATGGCCTGCATATAATATTCACAGTACATATCCATAAGGACTAAACTGTAATAACCACATAAAGCAATAGTTCTCTGATAAAGACTCTTGAAGTCCCCAAGATCCTGTCTTTTCTAACTACATATTTTTGTGAAGCAAAATTTCTTCACACACTTCAACCCAAACAAATCGCAACAGATGAATGAAGAAGCAGACATGAGAACCCAGTGATCTTCAAGTAAACATTTTAAAGACATTTTCAGAAATGTAAAACAATGCTACTCTTCTCATAAATTTATTTGTTTTGGATAATAGGTTTTTTTTCGTTAAAATATTATTTGTATGAGCTAAAAAAAATTTAAAAAAAGTAAAAAAAGAAATTACTGCCTTTCATTCCCTGATATCCAACATTTTGTGAACTGTTGCTGTATATTTTGCACATTATGTGAACTATTTCATCTATTTTTTTCCATTTTTGATTGTTTTAGATGAAAAGGTAAATCCAAATCCTTTTTACTACATCTTGGACAGAGTGGAATTCCACTAAATGGAAACTTAAATTTTCAGATTAACTGTAAAGTTGGTGAATAAAGATTTATTTAATCACTAATTAAAATATATTGAATATGCAGCCAATGAATGGCAATTTTCTGTATTAGGGCATAGGCTACATTTCTGAATTAGCTCAAGGATAAGGCCCATTTGTCTTTAGTAAAAACAAATAGAACAAGATAGAAAATAACATAAAAATTAACTGTGATATTATTATTTCACTATTTTAACTGGGTCATGTTTTTTATTTAAGCAAAAACCCTTCAGGAAATAATACGAAGTCTGAGAAAGAAAGAACATCCAGACTTAATTTGCAAAGTAAGGTATAGAAATCATTAAAAACTGGATCAGATTTTCCTGGTCGTGTCTTTGTTTTTAAAATTCTATCAAAGCTTTTCCAAGCAAAATTTTAGAGGCAACATTTACACATGCCAGTTAACCATAATATGTCTACATTTTCATGGAACAAATTTGTATTTACATTGTTTTAACTTTTTTCTCTCCAGGTATTTGGCAAGAGTAAACATTGTGTATATAGATTAATGTACACAATAAAAAAATTTGACCCAAAGCTTCTTTTCTACATCCCTTCTCACCGGCCACACCAATATTTACAAACAAATGTTCTAATTCCACTAGTTTATGAGTCTGGGAATACTTTAAGTATTTTGTCTTTAATACAAATACCTTATTTATAAAATCATCAGTTCTGCTTATAAAGAACTGACTTATATAGTAGTTTCACTGATAATAAATTGTAGCCGCTAAATAATCAGATAATAAGTATCTCAATTTAGTTTAGAAAGTTTACCAAATTGAAATAGCTTCCTTAGAGTAATTGGACACTACTGATGGGTTTAACCAAAGCTGATAAGCAGTATTTTAAATAAACAAATGAAAACTAAGGAGCTTAAATGAAGGCCACTATCTTCTTTATTTCAAAAACAAAACAAAACAAAATCAACAAAATAAAAGTTTTTGATTGTCTATAATAGCTTCTTTATATTCTAATGTAGGATTTAAGCACTTCTGAAATATTTGGTGGCACTACCTTATTTGTGAAGGCATTCAATTTTACAAGCAAATTGTTATTCCATTTGTATTAAATTCCACAAAATCATAAATGCTTTAATGGTGAACATACTGTTCAGAATAGTCGAAACAACAACAACAACAAAAATATATCAGGAGATATTCTTCAAAAAGGCTTTTATTATGGGGTTGTTAGACACTAGAGTTGTTAACATAGTTGACTTTGTATATTATTCATTTACCTTTAAGGCTACTCGTCTAAAGTGCAGCTACTTAGTATTGAAGGTTTTAAATAATGTTCACATTGTAACATTTAAAATTTGCTAATTCAGTCAGTAACATGGTGAATATGTTTTGAGAGTTGCTAGGTATGGATTTCATTATAAGCCTTGATATAGTGGTGCATCAAACATTCTTACTGCCCTTATTATAACCTTTAAGAACAGTACCAGCTAAATGTACTTATCTTAATGACATAGTTTCCTGTGGATGTTTTAGAGAGCCATTTGTTTAATTATTTTTTTCCTGTTAAGCACACTAAATTGTAAGTTCAATGAAGTCAGGGACCTTGGTTATTTTATTCAATCCTGTATTTTCAGCACTTACACCCAAAGCAGGAACTCAAAAAGTATTTGCTGAATGGATTAATGAGCACCACTAAATAAGGCTCTCACTTTATTAAGCAATCATAATAAAGTCAAGATAAATTTAATTTTGCTTGCTGGATAGGCTATTGGTTATTCATTTTTCTTTTTCCTTTTTTCTTTTTTCTTTTCTTTCTTTCTTTTTTTTTTTTTTTTTGAGACAGCTCTGTCACCCAGGCTGGAGTGCAGTGGCACAATCTCAGCTCATTGCAACTTCCACCTCCAGGATGCAAGCAGTTCTCCTGCCTTAGCCTCTGGAGTAGCTAGGATTATAGGGGCCTGCCACCATGCCTGGCTACTTTTTGTATTTTAAGTAGAGACAGGGTTTCACCATGTTGGCCAGACTCGTTTTGAACTCCTGACCTTAAGTGATCTGCCCGCCTCAGCCTCCCAAAGTGCTGGGATTATAGGCATGAGTCACTGCACCAGGCCTCATTTTCAATCTGATATAATAAGATGGATTGATGAAGAGATAGAGGATTGGAAAGATAGAAAGATATGATAAAAGTAGTATAATAAAATGATAATTATATAATATATGTGTAGACACGATGTTGATAAAAGTTTTTTCAACTTTCCATATGTTTTCAAATTTTCATAATAAAATATTAGGAAAGTGTGATGTAAATAAAAGCTAATCAAGCTGCAAAACAGTGCAAAGAGACCTATTTCATACAGGCTCTTTTATTTGGAGGGACAGTTGAGTGAATGGAATAAAATGTCACTATTATGTTTACATCAATTTGAGAGACTCTGTGGCAGAATAATCTAGTTATAGTTGTTCATTCCAAGAAAATCATTAATTATGCATGATTTTTATTAAGATAGTTATACTTTTATTGTAAGCATTTTCTTCTGCTTTTTATAAACTTTTTAAATTCTAGGAAACAGCTGCCTGTTTAATGCCTTGGCTCTTAGAAAGAAATTGCAGACATCTAAGAATGCTGCTACTCTTTTCAATCTCAAGAGTGGAATCAGTGGAAAGTTTAGATTTCACCAAATTTGGGCTTATCTTAGTGTTGAATT